CACAATAATGGACCGACGGTGAATGAAAGGAAATTGTAATCCAAAAACAGAATAAGTGCCCACATAAAAACTGTCACCAAAATGATTTCTAGAGACTGTATCATAGTATTAAACCACAGTAAATCACAGCATTAAAAGCTCAGCAGTACTTGTATCATTTAACTGTACTGTGCATTCAGTATACAAGCCAGTGTTTATCCTCTGATGACACAGGGGTGTGTGTTTGTATCTATAAAATCACTGTGTCTTAATCTCCTAACTACCAGACAATAACAGATTTGTCTGTGATAAAATCCTGGTTTATACACGTGTCTGTCTGCCTGCCATACAAGTCAATCTTCATATGTGCGTCTGTGTGTTGCTGCTCATCTTCTGTGTGTGTGTGTGTGTGTGTGTGTGTGTGTGTGTGTGTGTGTGTGTGTGTGTGTGCGTGCGTGTGTGTGTGCGTGCGTGCGTGCGTGCGTGCGTGCGTGCGTGTGTGTGAGAGAAGGAGCAGATTTAGCTTTGATAAAACCTCAGTCTTTAGAGGGATTATCAGTCCATCCCCAGACAGCAACATGCTGTGCATTTATGGAGGTAATAAGTTGACCTGTAATAGACCGACAACTGACTAGCGCTCTTATTGAAATGGTGTCCCTATATCTACACCTGGGATGGGAGGAGGAGGAAAAAAGCAATATCTTCAGGGGCAGTTTGACCTGCTGCGCAACACACCATGCGAGCTCCCATCCAGAGAATTTTGATTTGGTGTTTACCTTTATGAGTTTTCCAACTGGTTTGTCATGCTATTGTCTGCCTTTCAGTTTTGACTCCACTGACATCCCAGAGGGCAAATGTGCAGCTGGCAGAAAAGAGTAAGCACACAATGTGGCACAAAGCAGGACATTAACATTTAAACTCAAACATAAAATAACTAAAGAGCAATCTTCATGACAAAGTCCTGTCCTCATTTACCCTCAGAGATCTAAATCCTTGCCTTTCCGCACTAAAAGTAATACAAATGTTTAAAGATGCATGTTAGTCATTGCAATATTGTTTAATGTTATCTTCAAAGCTATTTCTCACAGCATGATTTGGATATTTCAAAGCAGGACAAATCCCTCAAAAGGTCATAAGATAGTGGCTGCAGGATAGCTGGTTTCAGGACACAGCAGTCAAATAAATCCGCTATTATTTTCAAAAGCAATCCTTGGGTTGTTCCTGAGCTCCTGACTTATTCCAATATTACCGAAAAGCTTTTCAGTTACCAGTCTTATTGGCTGTAAAGAGTGAGGAGGGTCTGGAGGACTATGTTTTTCAAAAACTCAGTCACAGTCAGAAATAAAAATGACTACCCCTCTCCGTCATGGTGAGAAAATTACTATAAACTGAAGAGAGACAGATATAGAGCAGTATACTATGTGTCCTGTCCTTCTTCCTACTTTCCCCGTCCCCTCTCCTTCTGTCTCACTTCTCTCTTTCTGCCTCCTTTCTTTCCTGCCCATCTTTTAACCCCATGTCTTTTTTTTCCAGCTTCATCTCCCTATGTTCTCTCTCTATCTCTCCCTCCCCTCCTTCAAACGCTCTTGCTTCGTGCGCAGTCATAAAGAAATAATGTATTCCTGTCCCCCCAGTGCGGGTATGTATTAGCATGCCAGCAGAGCACGTTAACTTATCTCGCGGCTACAGGCGCTGAGTGGTTAAACTAAGCTCTGATAGTTTGCAACGGGATGACCACAGAATGCCTGTAGCTCAGAGAATCAGGACTGCCGTCACGATTAGGGATGGTGGGCCTAATGTTTTACTGCACTGTAATACTGTACTGTAGTCCTGAATGAGTCTCTGGTATGCACAAAGGGAGCATCAACCTAAATTCAACTGGTAGGAAAAACTAACAAAATCGTAACTTTTTTAGACATTATCAATTGAGTATTTCTTTCCTCTAAAGAAACAGAGTACATTGCTAATCTGTTTAAAAGGCTGTACTATTTTTGAAGTCCAACTCCAAATGTATTTGTCCATCTGTCAGTGCTTGTATCAGAGGATATGAAATTACACTTTAGATGGAAAAACTAAGTATGAATTCAATAAAGCACAATGTTAACATATACTATATATAGTAGTGGGTCAATTCTTCATGTGTCTGCAAGTTTAAATTACTAAAAATGTATTACAGATTGGACCTTAACTGGTCTTGTTCTCATTTAGTTGTGTGATGAACCAGAAAATATAACTACTGTACACATACAAGCATTATAGTTATTTCATGCAATGCCCACAAGCTACATGTAATGAGTGGTTGAACTAAACCTGATAGCATTCCTGAGGCTGACCACAGGATGTCTAAGAGAATTAGGCTTACAGTGGTGATCAGTTATTCTAGGCCTGATGTTTTACTATAGTCTAATGTTCTTTGCATAACATCAGTCCAGCTCACCAACATGCCATGCATACAAAAATATATAACGTCAGAATTACGCAGACTATAGAATACATTCATGTCTGTAGGATTGATGTCAAAGCGCTACTTTCCAAAGTTATATACTTTGTGATGCTAATCAGACTTCACCAGAAATACAAGAATGAAATACTTTATATTAGTGTAATAGTAAATACCGATGGGATAAGAGATTATGGTGACAGAGATTTAGTTGTGCATATGCTGCAGAGACAGAGATGGTGTGAAACCATTGCCTATTTTAATGAGCATTCCAGCTTAGAGGGATATTGAGACTTCAGAGCTGGAAGATGCCACCGATTGCTGTGCAAATGTTGTCCCATGTAACTCAATGGATTAGGTTTAGAGGCTCAACTCCCACTGGGACGTCTGTATGAATAAAAAACGCATTCTCTCACAAAGCGTCCACCAAATGGCAAATGTTATGAAAACTGCACTGTACTTGATAATGGCATTACAGATAAGCAATGTAATTAAGCTACACACAGCGGAGCAGACTGTATTGTAGCTGAAACCATGCCTGCGCAATGCCTATTAAGAGCTCAGTGCTGGGCCTGTCACAATGATTAGTTATGCTTAACCTGATGTTTCTGTTTCGCTCACAAGTTCATTAACTGGGTACTGGACTGAATGTGCACACTTGTAATCCACAGTAGGTAAATAGTAAGGCAGGAGGGGTGTAGAGCTCTAATGTTAAAAGCAGGAACATTGGATCTACTTACACATGAACTGAATAAGACCAAAATACACATGTATATTATGCTTAAATAAAGCTTCACAGCCATTTTACTCTGTAAAATATTATTAATGTCTCCATCTCTCTCTTGCATCCTCTGTCCTTGCTTCCTGTAGTTGATGACTCATCAGCACCCATCCTCTGCCACTGACCTACATCTGTCCCACCTGTGTGACACCGTGTTGACTGACCCACATTCCCAGGCGACCTTAGCCTGTGCCACAAGAGCAGAAGAGGAGAGAAACTGCAGTATTAAAGCTCTGTTCACACTTGCAGGTTAATTGTTGTTAGGCTGACATCGATACTGCCGTTGTTAGATACCAGGTAGACTGACACTCTTTCCCTTATAAATGTGATCTATTGGGCTTAGTTAAGGCAATTTATTTTCTATAATTAAACCTATAAAAGCATACAGTAATTTACTGCCACATAAAAAAAAGCATCTCAAACAGTTGGCTGAGCGATGATTTATCCTCACCTGCCTGGGTGTTATGTTATCACATTCTTATTCACATCACATTTTTCAAGGCCTGATATTTTCTAGTCTAATCTGTAATGTAAACAACAAAAGTGTTTTCTCTCCCCACCACTCCCCAAGTTGTTCCTTGCATATGCTTACAGATAAACAAGCTATTTCGGAGCGGACATGGTAGATTAAAATCAGAGTACACAGCCAAGAGCAACATCTCTGTGTGTCTGCTTCTCTCCGCAGAGCACAGCATGGTGAGAGAGTGATGCTGCTGCAGGACCATGTGGACCGCCATGCACAGAGGCCGGGGGCGGAGCTTGGATGACAAGTACCACAGTGTGCTCTCATTGGCCCTCAATGACATCATTGATAAGGAGTGTGTCTTGCTTTCTCCCTCTCACTCACTCTAGCATAAGTATAGGCACAGGTTAAGAGGTTTATATGCATCTCTCATGACTTTTTCTTGCCTTCATCGACTGCTGCATGAAAATAGGCAATATTAATAAATTGTGTTTACGCAACTACTCAACACTTGTCCATCACAGGAGTTCAAGTTTCTGTTTTATTTTCAGATGTAGATGTAGGTTACCACAAGGTCAACAGTGCAATAATGTTTATTCTCAGCAATAAAACTACTAATTGCATTTAAGAGCACTATTCATAAAATACTATAAATACTACTCCAACTGCTACATCTCAAATCAAATAAACATGGAATAACTGATTAAGAATACATTAATAGGCCAAACACACTGCACTGGATCAGTCAAGTCAGCTACACAGAAACGTTGGGTATAACACATGTTAATTGCATACAATATGAGAACATTCAGGAAAGGTTCATTCATATTGTAAAATAAAAAATATAACTTTATGTAAAAGTGTTGTATATCAAGAAATATGAGTTTAATATATAAGTTAGTCATTAGGTAAGTAAATAAATCCTGGTTTGGCGTCAGTCTACAAAACACTATGCTGTCGTCATAAAAAAAAATGTAATTCCAGATTATTGTCCAAACGTCTAAAAGATATTGACTTATTTTCTTGGGATAGTGACTGAAATGATATAAGAATCTGGAGAATGACATAATCAAAACACAGGTAAGAGGAAAATAATGTTGGAATGTCAGAGATGCTATTTTTAAGATGTAGCTCAGAATTGCACTTAAAACAAATGTAAAAAGCCACGTAAAGTGCAGCCTCTACCAAAATTCTATTAATATTGGGAAATTAATGGAGGCGATGTCTGTGTTCATATCTGGGTTTGCTGGTCAGTCCTGTTTCCAAGTGAGCAAGACAGTCCTGCAATCAAAGGGTTGAACAAGTGCCACATCCCAGAACAAAGTAATATCACCTACCAATGCGGAGGGCCTCTGAGGATCACAAATGCAATATCCTGCTGTCCCAGTGACTTTTGGCTGGAAAGTTGTCTTGTGGAGAGACACACTACACATTTGTATAATCCTCAAAGTGTCTCCATGAGTTTCATATTTCCAAGTGTGCCTGAAATGCATCCCGCCTGGCAGTGCTGCTCCTGAAGTTTAAATCCTTATAAGATGAGTCTTCACCTTCTCCAAAAGAAAACTGCACAGTCTCTTAATCCTCCTCTGCGTCTTAAAGCTGCTTGATAGGTGACTGTACATCTTCCATGTGATTTCCACAGTTTTTCTTTCCTTAACCTCCAACAGCAGAAACGCTTTCCTGGTTAATCTGGTGTTAAAATCCACCTAAGGACAGATCCCAGAGGAATAAAGAAAAGATTGAAAGCATTAAAACTTGCGCTACGAAAGTTCAGCAAAAATATGCTCATTGTTTCAAACTGCTCAAATAATAAATGAAATTATATATTTGTTGATAAACTATTGAACTTAGGGTGTGAATATAATAGACTTTTAAAAGTTGCTGTATGAGTTGGTAAAAGTTTGAAAAAGAAATGTATCAAAAAACAATTGTTTGCAAAACTAATTCTGTTTCATACAACAAATAAATCTATAAGTGCAGATTTTTCTTCTTTGTTGCCAAATACAAAGTTTAAGGGTAGGGCTACTATACAATGGAATGCAGCAAATTCAAACAAGTTGTTTGCTTGGCCACACCTTCACATGAAAAAGAAAGTTTAAAAACAAAAATGTAAACTACATTTGTGTTTTAGAGACCTTAAAAAATTAAGTTAATAACTATTTATCTTGACGCTTTCCGGCAGGGTTTGTATATTTGTAGAAAACAGGGGGACTAAAAGCGCATTCTCCACTTTGGAAAATTCGAAATATTTTTTATCCCATACAAAATATTTAAGTCGTTCCAAAAACGTGTTTCCTTGTGGAATTGCGCTTCTTTCTGCTAGTTTTCTTTGTATGGACTGAGAACAAAGGAGCCTTTACTGTAACAAAGAAGCTGCAGCGACTTATACCTGTTGCTCAGTTTCCAATAAACTATTCCAAGTTGCTTAGTGATTTTCAAAACAAACATAATTTATATTCATTGTTTATCCTCGGAATAGTGTTCCTTATTCACGCAACAAGTGGAATTATGTGTCACAGTTAAGTTTCTTTGAGACTTTACACCTGATTGCATTGTTCGGAATTCCCTCAGTGCACTGGCAACTTCGCAAGATCACGAACACCACTATCAAAAAACTACTGCACGGGGGGGAAACTATTTACAAACTATTTATGAACTAATACTTGTCACTTTGTCTTTTTTCCAGTGTGCGTAAAAGCTCCTTTTTCTTCGCAAACTTCTGACAGACAGTTGCTTTGTCTTGCGCGTCGCAACATCCCCGAGAGACAAAAATACGGCAGCTGCACAAACTCCATCTCACCTCCAATGAGCTTAACTGACTTTTAATTATAACTATGATAAGTTGATTATTTTTAAGCGTTATGAAGATGCGTGTCTGAGCATCCCATCAAGTTCTCTCCTCAAAGCGCCCCGCATCAGACAAAGGAAAAGGGGACCGCTCCTCTCGCTCTCTCTCCTCGCTGCCTCTCATTCTCTATGTCTCTCTCCCTCTCTCTCCTGCTTTGTGCTCAAGTTTGAGCGCTGACGCACCAACTACAGCAGCAACTTTTAACTGGAAATAAATTCACAAAAATCACGCCGGGGGTTCAAGTAAAGGCAGAAGACAACTCACCTGGGGGTGTTTTGCTCTGTGCGCGTCGCCGTTTGTCGTGGAAAAAGTTTGAGAGGGCACATCTAGCTTTGTGTTGTGGAGTCCCCCTTTGTCTACACGTGTGATAGATGGATGGGGCTCCTTTTGGCCGCGCCTAGTTCATTTCGCTCTCCAAAGAGTCCCGCCCTCTCAAAGTCAAACAACTATGAACACAACAGTGCAGACGGACTGTGGAGATGTCTGAATACCATGGAGCACAGTGGAACGGTTTGATTTTATATTTATTTATTTATTTGAGCTCACCAACTTTATTTGATCAGTTTACTTCCCAAGTCAATAAACTAATCAGTGTTTCTGTTATGACATATTATTTATCTTCAAATATTTCATTTTTATCTAAATGTAACGTTGTGTTGTTCAATGGCTAGCACCTTGTAGATGTCCCCCTTTGATAACTCTTTCCCTTCTCTTTTCTTATTCAAGTGCATGCCCACTAAAGGAACACAGCTGTCACACTCTCTGCTTTATCATTTCTTTCTTTTCTTGTCTTTTTTCTCAATGTCAAGTGTGCAAATAGCATGGCTGCGGGTGCGGCTCACTAAAACTTTTCTGGATGCACTGCTTGGAGACTACCATTGTGTCTGGACAGCAGCAGCAGCAGGGGAACAAAGGAAGAGACAAAAGAAAAAAAGGTCTCTTTGTTTGTTAATGCACAGAGTGGCAGTAAATATAAACAATGGCAACTCTGCAACAAGGTGAAACCTCTTAGACTGGAAAGCGTAATTTGGAGGCAAAGTAGGCCTGTGAGGTTTAGAAAAATTGGCTCATTCATCTTGTTCAATTTCAGCTATCTTTGTATGTTTTTTCATTTTGCAGGAATATTTTGTTAATAGAAAATCATAATTGAATAACTTAAAGGTGGGGTAGGTAAGTTTGAGAAACCGGCTCGAGATACACTTTTTGTTATATTCCATGGAATGCTCTTAACACCCCGATAGCAATGAATATCTTAAGTGCTTTGACAAAAAATCCATACAAATATTTCATCTGTGGAAGCCGTAATACTGTAAAAAGCACGACCAATCATTTTAGCCGGCCCGGCTAAAATAACTGGATGGCCTACCTGCCTGTCAGCCTTCCATCTGTGCACAAACTTATCTCGTGCCCTCATTGGTCATGTGCGCATTCGTGTGTGTTGGAGGAGGGGCTCTGTAAGGAAGTGACAGATTTTTTCCGGTTCTGTATTTTCAAATTCTAGCACACTCAAGCTGGTTTCTCCAAAATTACCTACCCCACCTTTAATTACACTCCCTAGATAACAAGATTCATTGTCCATATGCATACAGATTTGGTAGTTTGTATACCAAACCTAAATTAATAATCGGTTATTATTATCAGATGAATACATTAATAGATCTGCTGCTAAACTGAGAACAATAGGTAAGGGTCTTTTGGTTGTTGTATCAAAAAGCACAACAGAACACCTGTCAGAGTTCAGTACACCTGCAGTCAAACATCCTAATGCATCAGTGTTTTTTTTTACCCTGAAGCAAAATCGTTTCCAGGTACAAAGTACCACAAGATGTTTCTGGTGTAGCAACCAGTGGTGGCATTTTGCCCGAATAGAGACATCAGGGACAAGCAGAGGCAGAGAATAATTCCTAACTGTATCTCCCAGTTTGCGAGTTGTTAGTCTTCCCCTTTGTCCTGATGTCATATTTTATTGACCAAGGAAAGAAAACCACCAGACAGACAACAGACATGTAGATGCACATACATACAATTACAATAGAAGATAAAAATGTGCCCCTGCCGGAAATATCTGTTGCTTCCAAGTAACTGACGCACAGGTTTTTCTTCCATCTCTTGGCAGGAACACATGAAGTACCTCTCTCACCCAGAATATCTGCTCCTGAAAACAAACCAGACAAACAAGTCAGGTAGGGATAAGAATTAGAAGAAAAATATATTACAGACACTGTTTCCTTCATTCATATGTGAGACACAATACATAATGACAGTAAGAGAAGAAGAGGTTTTAAAACATTTGTATAAAACAGAGAGAGTGGAGAAATAGTCATACCCCCAACATCAACACCACCACCATTACAGCATCCACCCCCTCTGGGCTGAGATACATATACAGACAGGCAGACATAGAGATGCAGTCATGCCTCTCCCCCCCCTTCAGCAAAGCTCTTATCCTCCCCGCTGTGGTTTTACTGGGCCACTGACTCCAGCAGTCAGCCCACTCTGCTCTGCCCTGGCTGCTGCCTGCATATCTCCCACTGCAGTCAGCTGAGCCAGGCATGAGACTGCAAACTGAACTGGCTACACACAGTACAGATTAGAGGAGATTCTCACACAAATTGAGACAAAAGTAGATATTAGCACAATTTTCAAGATTATACCAAACAAGTATTTAATAAACTGGGCAACACAAAATGCATATGTATGCCAGCTGAAAAGAAGACAGTGTTTACAGTCTGTGCTAAGTCAGTAATTAAACTAAGCCAATTAGGCTTGGATAAAATGCATATATCTGCATATAGTTGTAATGCTGCAAGGGTTTGGTTGTAGCAGCTCCATAAAATCCCTTATGGATTAATGCACTAGTGCACACTCATTGTATTGACTCTACAACTGCAAGCCATAGCTGCTTTTTGCACCAGGGTATTGAGGGTTGAATGTATTTTATAAAAAATGAGTGTGTTGTCTGTTTTGCATCTTGTAGATGAGTTTGTCCTCTCCTGTTGTCCTATTAATGTCTATAACATAACAACAGATGAATAGATTGCAGGGAACGCACATCAACAAATCTAAGTTAGGCAAAATTACAGACCTTTTAGCTCTTTGTTAGATCAAGATGTATCACAATTAAAATGGCTGGGAGCTTTTAATACAGTTTGCGGATGTTTTGTCTTATTCTTGCCTGAGAAGTCTAGACACCAAGTCTGATACCAGAATATAATACTGTGTTTGGTAAGAAATGTAACCTGGTTAGGACCTACATTTGTAATGAAATACATACTGAACATCTTCTACTAACCTACTCATTACACACAGGCAATTCAACTAATATGACATGCACACGAGTGCTTATTTAAACAGCTACATATGGTATAATGTGTGACTGATACACAAAATAATGAACAGCCTGAAATGGTTTGCTATTACCATTTTGCATCCAATTACAACATTAAGAAATGCAAAGCTCTATGAACTGAATTAACCGTTAGTGTTTATACCGTACATAATGGCTGCACACGGTAACAGCTATGGTACCTGTAATTTTATACAACTAATTAGGCTGTTATGCAATAGTGCTAAAATATTGCTACAGGGAGTCACAGTAAACAAATACATACAGCAATGTTCATAGTGCTTGGTGAAGATTCCTTATGCAATATTGTTACATAGTGTGCTGTTTTGACGGAAGACGAGGAACAATAATTACTCAAAGAAGATACATTGGATATTATGTGAGGTAGACATATAATCTATCTGCAGGGAAAGTCATGTCATGGGGTTCAATTTGATGAATAGAGATTCAACAACAAACACACACACACACACACACACACACACACACACACACACACACACACACACACACACACACACACACACACACACACACACACACACACACACACACACACACACACACACACACACACACACACACCGTAGACAGACAGACATGCTTGTCAGCTATGCTGGAGGGCCCTTGGCTGACTGCTGCTAAACCAGCCCTTCCCCCACGATAAGGGTCTGTCTGGGAGAGGGGGAGGGGAAATCATGACTGTCTGAACACCAGACAGCCAGCATACAGCAGCACTACAGGCTAGAATAAAATAAATTCAGTTTGCCTGGATATGAAGCCCAAGAATATTTACCTTTTGAACTTCTGAGTGTGTATTCGCCAATAAACAGCCTTTATTACAGCCATTTCTTATAATTCAGCCAATTAAAATGACCTTAGTGTGTGTGCAGCTTTGATTCATGATGTAAATGAGTGAGATTTTATTCTTCAGAAGGAATACATTTTCGGCAATTAGACAAACCTAAGCAGGCAGCATTATTGGCTACTTTAGTAATTACTAATACATTAGTAATAAAACAGTACTGTTAGTCATGGGATGGTGAAATCTGCTCGCCTTCATCACTTCATGGTCTGTTTATAATGTGGCCTCTAGGTGAATAAATACACATCCTGTACAATGTACAGATGTGTTTACAGTAGCCTCATGTGAAGCTTCATCTGGTCAGCGCACAGGAGCTTTTGAGTTGGGTTCTTGATTCTATGAGTATTGACGTTTCAGGGGGATGTGTTGAAAGATGCAGGCATTTGTTACAGCAGGCTTTTTCTAATGCTTCACTCTTTTAACAGTGATTGTTGTTTTTTTAAATATTAAGTGGACAAGAACTATATGGTCATGCATCCATTATTATGTTTTACACTTGTAACCGTAGATATTCTAGACATTGTGTAACTTCTTACAATTTTGGTGCAGGTAGTGTTATAGGTTTTAGGAATTGGGATTACAATTATTGTATGATTTCTATACTTATGTCACAAGACCATATAATCATCAGTATGGGACATCAAAGTCTCACATCAACACTCCCCTACTAAGATTCATTTTGAATGCATGATGTAGACTTAAGCCTTATGGGGGCTTAACATGAAACCTATCAAATATGTGTCACCATAGGGTTAAAATAATCTTATTGATTTTCTCTGTCTGAGTCTATATAAATACATCTATTTCTTGGCTCCAGTGTGCTTGGTGTAAGCTTCCCAGAGGCTTTACAGAATAAAGACCATGCATCCTAAGAATGTAGAGGGAGAGATTGATATAAAGCTATTGAAATCAGTCATGCCTACTGTAGTGTAGTGCTTTTTCATAGCTCAGTGATGAGCTTTGCAAACTCTTTGTGGACCATCTGTGGGCTATTTACACTCAATGTAGAAAACCTGTTTTGCAAATATGTGCTGACATGGACAATACTCACCAAATGTGAAACTTGAATGAAACTCCTCTTTTCATATATGGAGATGTTTGCGAAAGAAAATATTTTAACTTAATAACTAAAAGTATGAAATATATGGCCTTTTC